CCATCGGATGAGCGTCTGGGCTGCCATGTGGCCTTTAGTGACGATGGTTTAGCGGCAGTGGCGGAGTTGCATCGTGAGCGTCTGGAGGTGATTGATGGTCTCATTGGAAGTTTTCATGCGTTGAAGCGCGACGGCAAAGACCGTGAAAGGGGAATGCCACGACGCACCAATTTTACTGTGCCAATCATGCCGTAAACGACGTGGAACGGATTTCCAAGTCTATATTCCGCTGACTTGGGGTAATATGCGTGTTGTTTCACAAGCGGAAGCAATGGAAGCTTCATTTTTTATTTATTTGAATTTGTTGCTTTTTTTTTTACGTGACTATTTTTGAGTGCTTTATTCCCTACCTTGGTGTTGTTTTTGGCGAGGCGGCAGCGACGTTGAGGTGTGGTGTACTTTTTTTATTTCTGATGTTTCCTTGCAGTGAAACTTCTGTCGAGTGTGGTCCTCTGCCTTCCCCCCGTTGTTTTTTTGTTGTTGTTGCGTGTGTGTTTGTTGGTCTTTTGTGTCCCCTGCTCCCTGCGCTGACGCCGCTCTGCCGGCCTTTCTTCCCCCCTCTGCCTCCACAAGTGAAGGTTGCGGGGGTTTAAGCTGCGCTAGCGCCGAGGCCGTGCCGGCGTGGTGTTTTGTGTTGCCTTCGGCGCGTTTTGCCGGCGGTATTCGTCCCCGCACGGTTCACGTTCGTCGGCCGGTGGCGGACCACGCCGCGGCGGCGCCGCCCTCCAGCCATCCCCGCCAGCGCAGAAGGACACACACGCACGCGCAAACACACGTACATATATATATATATATTTATATAGGCAAAAATCTTTGTATAACGTTTATGCCTGCGTCTATCGCCTGTGAGAAGTAGCTTGATGTTGTCACACGCCTCGACGGAGCCGCTCACGGGGGACCTCGACACCCTGCGGGTGCTGCACCAGGTGCTGCGTTTCGTGCCGTACAACCGCCGCACGCTCTGCGCGGTGCGGTGCGTGTCAAAGCCCTACCGCCGCGCCGTGCAGCACCCGCAGGGGCCGTGGGCGGGACATGAGGAGATTATGATGTCAAAGTACGGCCACTGCGTCATCTTTAACGCCAAGGACGACGAGGAGGGCCGCTCCAATTTTGGTCTCTCCTCCGTGTCTCCCATTGGCCGCAAGTTTACCACGCTTGGGGTGAAGATGCTGAGCCGCCACCACCAGTGCGTGGCGGACGGCCTAACAAGTCTGGTGCTGCATCATTCACAGATCGACCTTGACGTCTTCGACGCCCTGGCCCCGCTTACAAACCTGCGGAAACTGGAGTTGGCCCTCTGTCGCAAAATCACCTCCGTTGCGGGGGCGAGCCGCGTGGCGAGTCTAGAGTCGCTTGAGGTGGACCTCTGCCCCCTTGTGGCGGACGGCGTCGTCGGTCTGCTGCTCCCGAAGCTCAAGCGACTCAAGCTGCGCTCGTGCTCTAAACTGAGCAACCTGAACGGCATCGCACCGGCCACCGCCGCCGCGTTGGAGGAGTTGTACGTTGAGAACTGCGACGTCTACGATGACACCGTCAACAGGTTTTTTACGAACTTCACCACAAATTTGAAAATCCTTCATTTGCCCGGGGCTCACATTGACACCGCCCTCACCCGTGTGTCGGCGGAGGTGCGGGAGAAGTCCCTTGTCTCGCTGCACCTCCGCGACACGCTCCTGCGTTTCGTAACCCTGCGTGCACTGGCGCCATCCATGCAGAATCGCCTGGAGTTCCTCTCACTAGACGGCTGCGCCAGGCTGGAAAGCTTCGAGCCCCTCTGTAGACTCCAAGGGCTTCGCTTCCTTGACATCACCTCGGCTACCCACGGGGAGGGTCTGCAGTTTCTGACCTGCTGCGCCAAGCTGGAGCTCTTTCGCATGGCCCACGCGAAAATAAAGGATATCAGTTTCGTCTCCTCACTGCAGGCGCTGCGGGTGCTGGACGCCACCAACTCGCCCCTCGATGACCTTTCGCTGGTGTTCCTTGAGAATTTGCCCATGCTGGAGGTGGTGGTGCTGACGACGTGCACAGACATCAAAGACATCAATGTGCTGTCCACGTGCAAGCGCATTCGCCGCATCTTTTGCGCCAACACGGCGGTCACAAACGAGGGGATCACCTCCCTCACGGCGTGTCCCGAGTTGGAGGAGCTGGACCTGAGGACGACGGCGGTCACCGACGTCAACTTCCTTGTCGGTTGCCCCTCGCTGAAGTGCGTCAGCGTCTATGGCGCGGCGTTAGGCAGTGAGGGCTACCAGGACCTGCTGCAGAGCAACATTGAGGTTATCTGCGACCCCGTTGGTGAGGGAGGCAGCTTTGATGACGCGTAGAGGAGAAAGGGAAAGAAAGAGAGACATAGAGAAGAAGAAGAGAAGAGTGAAACCAACGACGACGACAACAGCAAGATGAAAGGGGCGGATGGAGTTCAAAAAAGCACTCACACACACGCATATACAGTAATTTTAAAAAAAAGAGTACTATTTTGGGGATATATTTATTGTATTATATATAGAAGTTTTGTACTTGTGCTCATTTACGGCTGCGGGCGTAGTGTGGCTGGCTTTGACTCCTTCCTTCTCTCTCCCTTTCTGCCTACATTATAAAAGAAAATATCTATATATAATGTAAGATAATAAATATATGTATCTCTTTTCGTGTATGTGGCGGGGAACCGCCGCCACATTCTCCTCCTCCTCCTCCTCCCATTACCGCGTAAGTTTCTCCTCTGCGTGCTCCTTCCACTTCGTTCTTTTTCTTCTTTTCTTGTCCTCTCCGTGGCGAAGAACAAAAAAAAAAACACGAGGGGAAAAAAAACGGCGAAGAAATGAACGACTTCATGTTATTTCTGGTTGTTGCGTCACCCGTCCTCGTCGGGCGTGTAGCTCAGTGGTAGAGCGTCCGTTTCGCATACGGAAGGCCTAGGGTTCGATCCCCTACTCGTCCATCTTTTTCCCCTTTCCCTCATTTTTCTTCTTCCTTCTTTCTTCCTTCTATTTCTCGCCGCTCCTTCCCAGTTCCGCCGCGAGACGGCCGCGGCAGCAGAAAAAGGGGCGAAGGAGGCGGGCGTTCGATGGCGAGGGACGCGGCAGCCGGCGGCGGGGAGGCGCTCGCGGAGGCAGGGCCAAATGCGGACCGCATTGGGCTGGCTGACACAATCAAGTCGTTTCACTATCGCCTGCAGCAGCGCATGTCCACCGACGCGGCTGTTTTGTCGTCGCAGGGGGCGGAAGCGCACGAAGACGAAGAGGCGCGTTGGTCGCGTATTATAGCCGGGGAGGGACAAAATATGAAGGTCTACGCGACCGCAATGCATGATATTGCGACCCGTTATTGGGACCCGTGTCAAGAGGGGGAAGGGGCGACCGCGTGTGGGTTTCCTTCTCAGTCTGCCTCTGCTGCTGGCAGAGTAGCAATTACCCGCTCCCGGCGTCCGCGGGACACGGTCCTGGAGGAGGCAGGTGAGCAGCATGAGCAACCCACACTTGGGTCATTGCGCTACAACGACCGCGTGGCGTACTCGTTGCACTGCGTGGCTGACTATTACCTCGGCACCTGCGTGCCGCTCGCCAACACGGAGCAGCAGTTGCAGCGGCATAATGAGGCTCGTGAGTTAGACTCTTCCGAGGAATGCGGTCATCCCCGGCATTCTTCGGTAGTTCCATGCACGGCGGTTTATGAGCGCATTCCCCGTATTGCAACGGCCACCATAAAGGCATGGCGTCGTGCCTTTTATGCCGCTCGCGGCCGCCAAGCAACTGCAGCAGAAGTTGAATCTGCGGCGTACGACGCACTTACACTACATGGTTGTGAGGGGGAAAAGGGCAACGAAGCTGACACAAATGTGCCGTCAGAGCCTCTACCTCACAAGATTCTGCGAGCAAGCCACGTCCAAGGGACATTGAGGGGGTCGGCGGCATCATTGGCTGGTCTTTACATGTCTCTCACACGCGATCTGGTAAGACGCCGTCGTTCCACAACTGGTGGCGACACTCCGCTGCAACCAGCTCTGCCGCTGCAGGTGCTCGACGTAGGCTCCTGTTACGGCCCGTTTAAAGGAAAAGTGGTCACGAACGGGGTGCTTCAGGTTCCCCTAGCAGTGACGGCAGTGGACCTGTGCCCCTTTGAGGACAGTGATGTCCTGCAAGGGGACTGGCTTGCCGTGCGCTTTTACGATGTCGGGGAGCGAAGGAAGGAAGAGGCGTCGGAAGCGGTGGAGGCAGGAGACAGCGACATCAGCAGCAACAGGAGCAGCGGCAGTGTCAGGAAATGTGCGACTGTGAAGAAGACGGAATCGCTTGTCCGAGCCAACGCCAGCGCCAACGCCAACGCCGGGGGCGTGAGGAAAATGCCTGGAGGGCCTCTTTGGGTGGCGCGTTGCCAATTCGATGTCGTATTTTTCTGTCTGATGCTATCTTTTCTTCCGCATCCTCGGTTGCGGTACCGCGCCTGTCTTCACGCCCACCTGGCCCTCAAGGATGGAGGCTTGCTCGTGATTGTGAGCACGCGCACGCAGTGCACCCGCCGCGGCTCCTGGATAGACGACTGGATCGCGTGTATTGAGGGAATAGGCTTCAAGCGGGTGCACAAGCACATCATGGGGCAGATTGTGGGAATGAGTTTTAGCAAGCAGGCGGCGCCGGAGAGCGTGGGCGACACGCTGGCGTGGATTAGAGGCATGATGGCTCGCCCTGAGGCGGAGGGCGGCCTGCGCATCCTTGGAGACGAGTCCCGCTAACCCCGCCCAGGACAATCACCATTCCTCTGCCCTCTTTCTCTCTCTGCCCACGCTGGGACTGGGGGGGGGGGGGCGGCAGACGCGCGGCGCTGCTTTTTCTTCTTTGTCCCCTCGAGCCTTGATTTCCGCTGCTTACCGGGGGGTTCGATGCGCAAGTCACCACCCGAACACCGGTTTGGTTCTGGTCACTGCGCTGCGTCGATACGACATGACAGGACGCGTAGTAGCAATATTTGTTGTTGTGGCTCTTGTGGTGATTTGCTCCACTTGCGCCTCTTTTCCTCAACAGGCAGCGGCAGCCTCGGTAATGTTGCCTGCCGACCCAGGTTTGTTTGTTCGTTACTTTGGGGCGGGGGGACCTCATCACCGGTGGTGTGGGGATGCCCCCCCCCCCCCCTTCGTTTCAGCACCCTCGGCCTCCTTTTCCTTTTTGCGCTCTGCCTTTCTTTTTTGGGGGACCGAACTCAGCCACATCCTCCTTGCTTTTCTCTCTTCTCCCTCGTCAACGGATACTCCTCACCAGCCTAGGATTTGCTAGACCGTAGCACACACTCCCCTCACGTTCGCTGCGACCATCACGCTCCCGAGCGGCGCACGGTGTGGACTGTCGCGGAGCAATGGAGCTGCACATTTTTGACTTTGATGGGACCATCTTCTACTCCCCCTCCCCGTCCGCGAGGATAAAGGAGACACACGGGGCAAACGTGTACGCGAGGCTCATGCGGCCGCTCACGGACAACGGCCTGGGCTGGTTTCAAAGCCTCACCACGCTGCTGCCGCCCGCGGTGCCGACGGCCCCGCCCATCCAGGAGTGGTACCTGACACCCGTCCTCCGGCGAATGATGGAGCTGCGGCAGCGCCAAAGGGACGCCGCCGCCATCGGGGCCCCGGAAGACGTCAAAATGTTTGTGCTAACCGGCCGCGACGAGAAGTTTCGCTATCGTATTGAGGAACTGTTAACGCATGGGGGGCTGCGAGACATGTTGGGCGCGGTGCTGCTGAAGCCGCACGAGACGTACGGCACGGTGAAGTTCAAGCTGGAGGCGTTGTACTCGCTGATTGCCCAGAACCGCCCCAAGCACGTATTCTACTACGAGGACCGTGTGGAACAAGGGCAGCAGCTCCTGGACGGCATCCGGCTGCTCTCGCAGGCGGTTCACCCTGATGCTCCCGAGTCGCTTTACGTTCACACTGCGGTATTGAAGGAAAGTGGAGAAGTTCATCCAACCCTTCTTGAGAGGAGAGATGGCAAGGCGCGAAGTGGCCCAGCTCTGCGTTGGTGGGATGAAACCAGGCGACGTGTCGCTCCTGACCCGTTGACAAGCATTCTTCCCTTCACCTTTACGATGTTGTTGATCGATCCCAGTTTGTCATCACGCTGCGAGAGGCTGCTAAGCGCGAGTGCGGAGGATGAGGTTGTTGCGCAACTGCGGTACGAGAGAGACGCGTATGAAAGCAGCAATCCCGGGGGGCCGAAGAAGAAGAGTTCTTTTCGTCGTGGCTCTAATCGCCATTATTACCCGAAAAAATAAAGGTGGCTTTGGGTTGGGTGTGGCATGTTAATGTTTACTGTTGGCGCTATTATATATATATATATATGCCTCCCTGGTAATGCGGCTGATGTCTTGGCAGATACGCATCCACGTCCATAGATGTATGCACATCTGCCTATCTTCATGGGTGTGTGTGTGTGTGCCCCTCGGTGCATGTTGGGTGTGTGGTTGGACACATGTGTGTGCGTTCCTCAATAACTGTGCCTCGCACCTTAACCACGTGAGTGTGTGTGTGTTACTGTGCGTCACACGACTCAACCGCCTTTTCTTTTTTGTTATTGTGCGTTTGTGCGTATCTTTATGTCTATTTATATATATATTTTTCCACCCTCATATGTGTGTGGGGGTGTGTGGTTGGACACATGTGTGTGCGTTCCTCAATAACTGTGCCTCGCACCTTAACCACGTGAGTGTGTGTGTGTTACTGTGCGTCACACGACTCAACCGCCTTTTTCTTGTGTGTATATATATATGCATATGTGTATGTATGCATCCATATATATATATGCATATGTGTATATACGCCTGGGGCAGCGTCTTGCGTTGGCTGTGGGCCGTCATGGCGAGTGGCATGCGGGCTGCTCAGCTGCCACCAAACCTCGCCCTCTGCCGCGGTTCTTGTCGGCACTGGATTGTCGCCGCCGGGGCCAACAGCGAGAGCTACCAGTGCTTCTGCCGCGCCCAGGGACAGGCAAGCGGGCGTCACGGCTCCACTGCCTCGACGCCTCCTCCCTCACACGCCGCGGCGAGGTTCCGCCCCGATCACCTGCTCCCCGGGGACTGGAGCGCGCTGCTGCGGCACTGCCGCCGCCTGACCTCGCCGCACGGTAGCTTCAGTTACTCCTCCCCGGGAGACGCGGCCGCCGCCGAAGCGGCCGAAGCGGACTCGACTGCGGAGGTGGTGAATTTGGC